TGTTGTAGTTTAGACTTTAGATTTTATTATTATATATTTATTATGCTGATCACCAGTTAATACCAGCTAATCTTTTTAGATACTTGATTGGTCTTATCAGTTGAAATAAAGTTTATTATTATTATTTTTTGTTGTTGTTGTTGTTTGTAAACTACATTTTAAAATTAAATTGCAGACAGGTCATTATTATGCCCACCGAGATGGAACAGGAGGTCATTATTTCAACAAATAATGACCTACTGTCCCATCTCGGTGCACACAATAATGACCTGTCCGCAGTTTTCATTTAATTAATTCATCAGCCCCACTCTTCCCTGCTGAATTCAAAACCCTCCCTGGCTTTAAGAAACTTAGGTTATCAAAAATAAAGAATACTTCAAAACAATGAGAGTATATATTAAAAACCCGTATTAACGGCTCAAAATCGCAGACGAGGTTTGTATCGCGATTCTCCAATGTTCAGTTCAAAAATAAGTATATATAACTGCAGTTTGCATAAACTTCCACCCTTAATATATATATAGAGACATATATCCAAAGTATATTGTCCCAGATATTTTTTTAAGAAAGTCCGAGTGTTAGACAACTCGAAAAAAATATTAAACATGATATACCATAATTTCTGAGGTGCTTCTGACATACTTGTTAGGGGTAAAAATACATAGATTTAAAACCCTTAAAGTTACAACGGGCATCGGCGCCTTTTGCAATCGGAATACGAAACTCCTCCTGGCAGGGAAAAAAATAGAAAACATTTATTTGGTACAATTTATGTAGATAAACTCCACTGCTTCCATTTTCTTGACAGATGAGAATTCGAACATATTGCAAGAGAATGACAAATCAAGTTGTTCTTGTGGCAGGAATGGTAAGCAAAAACAGGGGTCGCAAATGTCCTTGTGCCACTCTAGAGGCATCCTGTAGTAGTCAATGCAGATGCAAAGGCTGCAAAAATGTTGAAAACCGAGGCAACAAATGAAAGACAGTTGCCACTATCATGCAGATGTGGGCAAAGTCGATGTGCCACTGGAGATTCTTGTCAGAACACAGAAAACAGGAAGTCTAAATGCCCTTGTTCTAAAAACAAACAAGCATGTGGGGAAAACTGCCTTTGCAGTAACTGCAAAAATGTTTTGGGTGAGAATAAGAAAATCATTGGTTTACCGTCAAACCCTGCCGCGAAGAGGAGGAGATCAAATCCATCGCCATACAAAAAAAAAAAAGAATTCCTTTTGCAGCAGAATTGCGATTTCACTTCTTTTGTATGGTCGACCTATGAAACGTTTTTTCCAGCACAGTTAACATCCTTATTTCTCTAAATCTGCCGTTGTCCGTGAACAATGTGACCACAGTTTATAATCACGTCGTAAAGTCAAATTTTAGTGAAATCAGAAGGCTCCCGGTGCGACTTAAAAAGTATTTACAAATAAAAGGCAAATTGATACAGCTAAAAGAAAAAGAAAAGGCAATGATTGCCAAAGCAAGAGGCCTAGAATAGTATATACCCAGATTAATTTTATTGCAGACCTCAGTAATAATGATTTAATAATATATAGAGATTATCAAATATAAAAGGCTTGATATCGTTTGTACTCACAAGTTTCCATATCGAGTCCGCGAGCGAGTGACTGATATGATATGGAAAACGAGTCAATAAAAAGGATACCAGGCTCGTAGCATTCAATAATTTGTTAATTACACCTTTAGGGTCGATAAAAAGACAATATTGGCAGTTTCTAGTTCACCGTGAAGTGATATCGTATCACTTCAGATATCGTATCACTTCACTGATATGGTTTTTATTCACGGCTTTTTCACAAATGTGGACCCCAATTGTGTAATATGGCAATGGTTAATATCGGGGAATATTTACAGAGACGCGAGTTTCCGTGTTACGAGGTGAATATTTCCAAAAAAATTAACTGCGGAAAAATAATTGTTTTATTATGTTCTTGTCCATATGAGGGTTGCGTAAAGAGCTACCAAAGATATCTATCCCTGCAACATAACCTTGAAATCGGAAAGCACAAGTATGCTTTAGAGTACGAAACTTTTCTTGTTAAGGCAATGATGCTATACGCCAACAAGTTAGATCATGGCACTAACGCAGTACAAAACCAATCGAAGTCCAAGGCGTTTCTCAAAAATTGGACTACATTGAACCTTTACCAATGGGATGGGCGTTAAAGTCACCTCAAAGAGAAAACGCTTAAGCCCTAGTCAGAAGACATTCCTTACAGGCCATTTTGACATAGGTGAGCAGACTGGGCATAAAGTAAACCGCAGGACTGTGTCCACCTCCATGATAAAGGCAAGAAATGAAGATGGCTCACGTACGTTTGAAACGTCCGATGTTCTCACAACCCAGCAAATTTCAAGCTTTTTCTTTCGCTTGGCTAGAAAACGAAGAATTGTTGATGACAACGACAACGAAAATGAGGAAAATGAGGACGAGTTAATGGAAAAGTTTGATGAAGAAAACTTCCAAGAACTTACAGAAGAAATTATAAACAAAATTTCTATTTCCCATTTGTTTCGAAACACACAACATCTGCGATCAACTGCATCTAAGAAATTGTCCAAATTCTCTGTACAAATGTACAAATGCTACATGACATATGCGGCTATTTTGAACTTTAAACTTCTGCAATAAAGACCTCAAAGAAAAAGAAACCCTTTATCGACCTTTTAAATGAATAAGTGGCAACTGGACATCAAGTATCAGTTCTTGTGGATGAAATGAAGGACTTTGCCTTTATCTACAAATACATGAAAGGAGAGCTTACTATAAGTTATCACTTTGGAGAGTGGAACATTTGAGGTGCACCTCAGCACAACTAATTGTTCTTATTGGATTCATAGCAGCGAACGGATTTGGGACTGTTGTAATTTCAGTTATCAAAATGTGTTCAAGGTAAATTAACACAATAAAGAATTATTGTGATCTAGCCCTATTTTGTGACATGACAACCACAAATCAATGTGCATTAAGATTAGCAGCTTGCCTTTTCAGACACTGGAATTGCTCCTCTTTGCTCTTATACATATTATTGTAGTTTTTTGTAATTATATTGACCAGGCGTATTGACATTGACATAAATAAAATGGCTTCGTTTGGCATCTTTRMTTGCATTCATGCTCAAAAGTTTTTGCCCACATGTATCAACTGACCCAAAAATTGCCAGTCAATCCACTGTGCATGAGTGGATTAAACTGCACGTAACTTTCGATCCTATATGTAGAGCAACAGATCATTTTGAATTTGTAAACATACAATTGAGCAATGCTTATCTCTGCTTATAATTATGATCTAATTGCCATACTTCAGTAGCATAGCAAGGAGGGGCACATGCCCTTCCCCCTAATTTTCTGGGCAATTTATTACGATTATGTGTAAGGGCAAAAATTAAAATATAAGATTTTTCAAGCTTTTTACTATGTATGCCCCCACCCRACCCCAAATTTGCAAGTGCCCTGCCTGATCCTAAGTTCTTATTATGCTCTTGACAAACCTGACCTCCCAAACAGTTCCTTCCACCCCTCCTCTTGACTAGCAAATAATAATAACAAAAAATTCAATTGCAACATGTATCAAATATCAAAAATGTTTATTTACAAATCTCATCAAAAGTAAGCAAAACTCCAAAAGCTGCTATTACAGATGCATACTGATGAAGTGAAAATTAGCAATTGTGCATTGTATTCACTAGACCAATTAAGAGCCAATGCCCAGAAAAATCGAGCAAAATCAAAAATTCGCGGCCACAGTCAAAAAATCAAATACCTTCATTTTTGGTTTGTAGAAAGGTTTTAGTGAGTTTAGAAACGTGTTGGGGTTTATTTTTCAATTTATGAAAATATTCGCGAAAAAATCGAGAAAAACGATTTCAGCTTGTTGCTGGTGTAAAAATAGTAGCCGTACCAGCGATAACGCTAGGGCC